GTGACACTCTGTATTCTTAATCCGTGACTACACGGACAAAAAAAAACTACCCTATAATAAGTAGGTAGGTAATTAAGATAATCTAACTTGTAAGGGATATTTAGGGGTGTCGAGGGATTCTTACTCGTTGTTGAACATGCTACAAATTTAGATAGACTTGATGGTGTCGTAGCCAATTAAGTGACTATTATTATTCAGATGTTGTCTCGTACTACAACAAGACTACATGTTAACTGATGTGTTCACGTAATCACATTGCATCAGTGCATAGGACAAATTAGCTCATCGCTCAGAATGGTTGAGAAACACTCGTAGTTTAGCTTCGTTACTAGTTATCTTATTTTGTTAAATTTTACGTGATTATGGACTTGATTTGTTAGTTGTGATGTAAATATCAAATGTCGAGATACGTCCTAAGTAATTATCAAGTCACGAAGGTGTGTAATTTTTTTTTAATAAGTTGCGAAAGGGTAGGGCTCTTCGCAACAACGAATAAAATTATTTCTTCTTTAGGCGAAAATAGCGCGCGGTTAGGTAATATATAATATAAAATTATTATTTTTTTCTTTAAAATACAACGCCCGCATTAGGAATATATCCTGTGTCGCGGGGGAATTTACAAACATACATATAACGGACACAAAGAACACCCAGACTCAGAACAACAATTTGTGGATCACACAAAGTGTCGTCCCATGTGGGGTTTGAACCCACAACACTCGGCGTAGTGGGAAGCGGCGTGGCGACCGCTTAAACCATTACGCCATCCGTGCAGTCAAGTCAGCCATTCTGAATCTTCGCTGTCTTCTTTTTCATTGGCGTAAAAGAGGTATTGTTTCTATGCCGAAATGAACATGGAGTAAAACCATGTAAAATGATTATATTTTATTCCAAATACAAAATTCCAAAAAATCCTTACTCGATTCAGATTTTTCAACACTCCTGGAATTTATGAAAATCTCATCAAGAATTTCAGTAAGAATTTGTTTACAGCGGTTATCAAATAAAATACAAGTAGTCTCTTAATTAACGATATCACAAGAATTTGGTTCAAAAAGGTTAATCAAAAACAAACAATTAATCCCATACCGACACAGTATGATATGGAATATGATAAAATCACAAAAAAGTTAGCATAAGCAGGCAACGGAAGCTTATTTGTTATTTTGCTATTCATTTGGACAACAAAGAGGACTGGGGCGATCAATAACGCCCACACACCCGGGCCTTTGCCGAATACGCCACACGCCCTCGATAAGCAACTAAACACAGATTAGTTAACTCCCCCCTTCCCACTGAAAGGGATTTGGGTAAAGTCGAATTTGAACTGTAATTGGGCGACTTAGGGCCTTCGGGCTATTTACATATGCTGGTAATATCAAAGCTGTTACACTTAATTCGTTTACCGGTAATGGCATGCTCATTCAATACAAGGTCTTTGGATATTTGCGAATGCCATTTTGTGTATTGTTTATCAATAAAGCTATATTACTTTACGTAATATCTATTCACTTCTTTTAAGTTTTAATATCACCAATAAGCATAAACAAAACAAAATTTTATGTTTGTGTTTTTTTTGTTTCAAGTAGTGTGCCCATTGAAGTCGTTGATCATTTTATCGCCGACTTAAATGCACCTGCATTATGACGAATCGTAATTAACTGTATCCTTCATTCCATAATTTTTCGACTTTTATATTCGTGTTTTTTTGCTATTAGTATTTCTTCTTCAAATTTGAATACATAAATTATACCTTTTAAATTCAAACTAAAATAGGATATTCACAATCATTTCATAAATGACGGAGTTTTTTGGAAAATAAACCTAAAAATAGTACAACCGAATTGTAAACCTCGTCTTATTTTAAATTAAAAATAGGCCTGGAGTTCCCTTAATTAACCGATTAACATACTAATGACAGTACAAAGCAATTAAAATAATCATTAATTAGATTTATATCTGAAAAACGAAGTTAATCCACATTTAAGTATAAATTTTCAGTTCTCTGTTTTTCTGGATTATAATCCAAGGAGTTTACGTTTCCGCGCATCATTTTAAATAAAGGTTCTTGATATCGAATAAGAAATCTCTTTTGCCTTCCCATGCCATGCCCATTTATGTTTGGCCTTCCTCATCCCTTGTTTACCACCAGCATTCTTCTTTTGCACAAATGATTTATTTTCCTCCTTTGTAAGCGTTCCTATTTCTCTTCCCTCCTTTAAATCAATATGTATTTAAAGTTTACTTTTGTTAAGATCTGCGAGGTAAAGTGCGTAACAAAATTATAAGTTTGGTGTTTCCTTCTGAAGTCGTTTGTTACGAAATTTGAGCGAGCTCGTTGAGAAAAACTTCGTGATTATGAACCTTAATGGATACTGTATAAGTATTTACAGGCATAATGTGTTGATGAGATCAACGTAGCAAAATTATCGAGTTTGCTGAAAGTTTTATTAAGGGATTTATATATTCTTTCAAAAGATGTTTAATATGATATCACGCCTGTATCTTATCAGATGATTAATGGCCGAAAAACTTTGGTAGTGAACCACTGGACTGTTTTAAAGACAGCTTATTAAAAAGAAATATGTGAGATCATTGAAATCTATCAAGATTATAATATTCATCACTATAGCTAAACCAATGTCAACAAAAGGTAAAGGTTAGGCACAGCAAATGGAGTAACTCTTTCTCTTTCGGGTGCCACAAGTTAACCTATATTCTGATTATCTTCTAGTAACTAGTTTTCTTCATGAGTCTACAATAACTATTAGGGGTGTTGATGAAAGTTGCCTTTACGACCTTACAAACAATTTGCGAGTTTAATCTTATTTTTTTTTAAAGACAACTCCCGCACTAGGAATAAATATCCTGTGTTTGGGGGATTTTTCAAACATACATGAAATGGGCACAAAGAACACCCAGACTCAAAAAAACACTTTCTGGATCACACAAAGTGGTGTCCCATATAGGGCCACAACACAGCGCAGTAGGAAACGGCGTGACGACAGCTCAAACCACTACGCCATCCGTTCAGTTATTTGGCAATTCTAATCCTCAAATGTAGAGAACGAAGTAGAACAACGAAGATAAAATGTGCACAAAGCAAAAATTGCAAAATAACCTGATAACTAGTCCAATGTTCGCGTGGTAGTTATAATCGCGTCCATCATTTTTGGGGCTATTAATAAAATGAGATTCAAGTGCTCTATTCTTGGACCAAACAGTATCTGATAGGCTAATAGATTACTTTGGGAGTGCCTACATTAAGTGCTGATTGGTATAAAGCTGGTCAAGGCTGTCCAGCTACCTAACTAGAGTTATTAATGTTTGACACAACAATCAAAATAGTATCTTTTGTGGCAATTATTTAGCCGATGAGCCGGTTTGAAACCAAAGCCCCATTGAAGAAGTCGAAAGTGTTCCAAAAGTACTCACTATCCCAAATTTTGCTTTAACAGATTTTACACTAGGCATGTATCCACTTCAAAACTTCTCCATTTTGTAGACGGGGCTTTAAGGACGCAGAAAATAGGCAATTTGGCAAACTGAGAAAAGCTCTACATTCAGCATTGATTTTAAACTCACAATGTTCAAAGGCCAGGAGCGAAATTAATTTCAGTCTCAATTTCAAAATTTGCTCCGTCCGTAAGCGTGCAGTTTCAATCGCAATCACACACAAAGTGATTCGACTCGAGAGCACTTCATTGTTACCGCAAATTAATGCATTATGCATAGTTATATAATACTTGAATAAAATTACTCAACTTTGATATGAAGCCACTAAAAACCATATTAAACAAAATTAACATTTTTGAAATGAATGGCCAGTGTTTGGATTTTTTACATACATACTCGTAGAATATGCTGAGGATTAGAGCTTATTAGAGATCACAGCTACTACGAGGTGCTCAATCATCCAGTATAAATACCTTCCAACTTTTATGTGAGACATTGTTCTGTGCTGCCTGGCTTTCAGCGACCTACAAACAATAGTGTCTTATAATACCATCTTTAAAACATCCCACATCATCACATCAACAGCCTTTAATAGTCCACTGCTGGACATAGGCCTCTCCTTAGAAAGGAGGTTTTGGCCTACTATACCACGCTGGCCAGGCGAGTTGGTATAGGGTTTGTGTCAAGTTTTCCTTCTTTTTGTAGTGCTGGTGTCCTGCTTTGTTTTTTGCCCTTAGTCGGCTCTTACGACACCTACGGGAAGAATTGGGGTAGTGACATTCCGTATTCTTAATCCGTCACTACACGGATATCTTTAAAACAAGTAGGTTTATTTGTAAATGTGTTATTTTGTCATAATTTAGCTAGATAACTACATGATATGGATGCATGATAACATGCAGACGTAGGTATTATAATATCTAGCAATTCGGTTTGAATTATTACAAACACTGTTGCGAATTCAGGTTAAACTGGATTTTTTAGTAGCAGAGAATTATTTAATGTATCTACGCATACTATATTGACATTCTTGTTTATAGATGCGTGTACTTGTCTGGCTGGTTTGTTTTTAATTGGAAAACATGCATATCGGTCAATACTTATTAATCCGTAATTTTTGATTAACAGTAAAAATGACAACTTGACTTAATACGAATACTGTACAAATTTACTCTCTTCTTTCACCTGTTTTGGACTCTGGTTTTTGTAATCTTGACAGGAATTGTTTCCTGACAAATATCCTTCACATCACATCAACAGCCTTTAACAGTCCACTGCTGGACATTAGCTTCACCTTAGAAAGGACGTTTTGGCCTACAATACCACGCTGGCCAGACGGATTGGTATAGGGTTTATGTCAAATTTTCCTTCTCTCGGCAGTGCTGTTGTTCTGCGTAGTTTTCTCCCTTAGTCGGCTCTTACGACACCCACGGGATGAATGAAAAACACTCTCTATTCTTAATCCGTCACCACGCGGACAAATATCCTTAGGTGCAAATAATTGTATGAAATGAAATTATAAAATATGTTTTCTTCTTCTCCAGGTACAACGGAGCGAGCATGCCTAATTACTGGATCCGTGGATGGCATCATGGTGGTGTTGGACTTCATCATGGACAAGATCAAAGAAAAGCCGGAGCTTGTCAAGCCTTTCCCCGAAAGCGTCGACGCTAAGATGCCTCAGGATAGAGACAAGCAGGTACGTGGAAGCCTTTTTTTTTAATAGAACTACTTTGATCAAAAAAATGTTAAAGACAATAGAAACTCAACAAGATTTGAGAGAAGACAACTTTTTTTTTTAAATAATAACAAAACACAATACCCCGCATTTATATTTATTAAAGACGGTTTTACACATGGGTTATTCGGGGATGTCCTACTAATAACAAACACTGAAAAAAGAGGGGGGGGGGGGGCCGGACATACGTTCAAATTTATTGAATACGAATATCATACTCGATTTTTTTTAAAATTCTAATACAGACTTCATTCAAAACAACAAAAAACGCTCACAGCTAATTTTCCGTCTGCTGCTGTACTTAAAAATCATTCGACGCTCTTAGGTGTAACCTTTTTAATAAAAAATAACTCACGAGTTACATTTATTTTTATGTGGTACGTTCATTTTATGGCGGTGTATATTATGGGTCTAGCAGCATTGTATCTGTTATGTTAAAACATACTATCCAAACGTTTATGTAGAAAGCTTAGGCAGGCATCTTTTACTCAAGAAATACAAACATAGTTATACAAACGGCGATTCTTTCTTTCTTATGGCATAATATAATATCTGCAATTTACAGATTTTAATCGCAAAAGAATTGTAATTAGTTTATGGCTACAATAAGAGTACTTATATTCTTGAACCTAACAATAATATAATAATAATAATAATATATTTTACTACATTCACACAGCGCCATCTAGTCCTAAACTAAGCAGAGCTTGTACTATGGGTACTAGACAACTGATATAAATACATATATACTTTTTTTTTGTAAATACATACATATTATACATAGAAACACCCAGATCAAAACAAACATTAAATGTTCATGCACACAAATGTTTGACTTGAGCGGGAATCGAACCCGCGACCTTTGGAATAGCAGTCCGTTACACAAACCACTATGCCATCCGGTCGTCATATAACTATAATATAACTCATATTATATTATTACTCAGTATTATTTCCTTAATTAAATTATACCTTATTACCATTTTGAACATTAGTAGCTGTTGACTAAACCAATTGTGCTAATAACGCCGATAAATAATGTATGGGTTAGCCATTAAATCTTATACCCCAAAAAATATCTCCAGCTGGTCCACGATCAAAACATCTTTATATGACCTAATTCCAGGGTACGGCGTCCAAATGTCTGTGGTGTTTGTTTCCCACACCAGAGAACCGCGTTCCCGCTCGATGTTACATGAATTATCCATTAACATCGGTGAAATATTTCAAAATGTACACAAATGTACGTTTGATAACGCTCCGTCAGTGTTTCTGCCCATTTCGCAATTTTCTTTGTGATCGGCGCAACGTGTAACTTTTTAAATGGTTTTGGCTGAGACACCGGCTGGCTAGTCAACATCAGACTCGTCTGCTTAATTGCCCACCTAAACTATAAAAACAGTTATTGATATCTGATAACAACATTGAATCCAAGCCCTGTCCTAATTGTAACGATTAGCACCCAGAACGGATTACTTGTTATCTATCTTATCACCAGGACGGCGACCAAAAGACTCGATTAAGTTTATTGCTAGGCTATACATGTGTAGTGACGGATTAAGAATACGGAATGTCACTACCCCAATTCATCCCGTGGGTGTCGTAAGAGCCGACTAAGGGCGCAAAACAATGCAGGACACCAGCACTGCAAAAAGAAGGAAAACTTGACACAAACCCTATACCAACCCGTCTGGCCAGCGTGGTATAGTAGGCCAAAACCTTCTTTCTAAGGAGAGGCCTATGTCCAGCAGTGGACTATTAAAGGCTGTTGATGTGTGATGATACATGTCTATTGAAACAGCAGTCCATTGGGCTGTTTTCATATATTTCTTTCACGAAAACTATCACAGAATTTTTAATGCATTTATTATGTAGAGAGTAAAAGAGAAGTGTTGAATTAATAGCAGGTCTATGTGTAAGAAAGAAATGGAAATATGAGTGTTTTCAATCCTAAAAATTGATTCCGTTAACAGAGTTTTCAGTTTACTTGTCAATGAGTTATAATTTCTTGTCAAGTTAACCCAATTTTTTAAAGTTTAGAATAAGTCAATTGATTTCGCGCTTTAGTTACAATTAGTTTCAATATAAAGTTTGAATTACTTATCCAATGAATCTATTGCCTAATAAAGCAGCTTTCACTGCTCAATTTTTCGATTCTAATGTCATGTCTTGTTGATTTGTTATATCTGTAAGAAAAATTTATAGTAGGGACGAGGAATTACAGAATTTTCGGCGTAAGTCAATTTGGAATGCCTCTCTCTATTTATTACAGAAAATCACTAAAAGATCCTTAAGGGTACTGAAAGTCTTCGAGTATTAGTATTCGATAAAGGTTATAGAATTGTAAGTGCAGTAAATGATAAAGGTTTGAACACACTATTAGTAGCAGTACCTTAAAAATCATATAGTAAGTAAAAAAAAAAATGACCTGTAACAAACAGATGATTTTAATTTATAAAACTCAAATACCTAGTGTCACTCACAATTAATAACCTAAACCCATCAAGTCATTAGAATACACAGCGTTCCAAAGAAAAATACAGTTAAACATAAATACACTCGAAATACATAACCGCATATCAAGCGCGGTAAGGTAAAAATAAAAAGAAATAAACGCAAGTTGGATACCGACCCAATTTCGCTTCGGCAACATTAAACCATTGACCATTATGATACCGCCTTACCCATTGTTAAACCCAATGACTAGCAGAAAAACTCATAAATAAGTCAAATCATTCGAAATCCATGCATACTGTGCTGAGGTTCAATCATCGCATTGCGCTTGTCATGGTCCCCATACGCGGCACATAAATCGTAGCGTAGACAAACGTACGCTATTTAAATGAAGCCCTAAATAAGAATCTTACGGATAACTTGTATTAATTGAGATTAAGGGATTAGGGAAATGTGTACGGTATCTTCCTTGGGTTTAAATCGTTTCGCAATGTTTGCTGATCCGATCTGTCGGACCCTAAGTTTCTGCCCGCTGTGTTTAATTGCATAAGGTGTTTAAGTGAATTACTTACCGTTTGTTAATAAAATGAGTTGGAATTACATTAATACAGAAATCTATTTCTTTATAAAATACTAGCTTTATCAGCGGGTTAATATCGAATTTGTCTATCAACTTTGATTTGATAAAAGCCTATGTGCCTTACCAGACTAAAATCTGTGTCTGCGTCGAACTTCATCCAGATCCATTCTGTGCTGTCATGATTGACAATAATGATTATATTAAAGGGAATAAAGAAAATATTAATGTGAAAATCAAATATACCTAAGTAATGACTGAACGAACGCGTAAAATACTTTTTTAGGTATACTCGTATGTTACAACCAATCTGCGGAACGGGTTATCGTCTGCGGTATTTCCGGACCGATACGACCTTCAAACCTTCAAGAAAAGAGCGTACTCCTTCCTAAAAGGCCGTCAACGCGTTTGTGACTCCTGAATTGCAGACGTTCATGGGCGGCGATAGTCACTTTCCATTAGGTGACTCACTTTCCGTCTGCTCGTCTGCCCCCTCTAATATAAAAAAACTAGTTATTTTTTACAGTTTTACCCACCCTTATCATTGTATCTGTTATTATAACAAGAAATACCCTTTATCAAAAAATGTTATAGCACACATTAGAGTCAATAACCTCCCAAGCCAGGTTAAAATTCTGTACATTGTACGTTCAGAATATCAAAGTAACAAATTACAAAGATAAAAGAAATAAAAACTCAACAATTATGTAATTCTACTCTTTGCTAGTGAGCACAAGCCTGCGGGCGTCCCAACCCCAGTGCCCTGCTGCCAAAACGGTTTTATTTACATATTTGCACAGCCTGTTCGTCCTACACTGTTTGTTTTGTAGTACACAATGCGTTGTCGTATGTACAATATGTGTGCTCATTAAACCGTGCGGGCTTGACTGGAGAGCGTTTTGAATCTCTTATCTGGAGTATGTAAATCTTTCAACATATTGTCCAGCAAATCCCTTTTTGAGGCCGTATGTTACTCTTTTATTCCCTTTGAAACCATTGTGTAAAAATACGGCTATTATGATTTTTTTTGATCGAATTTCAAGAGTGAAATGGGATGTCATACAAAAGTAACCTTTGTATAATGTGTAAGGTTTGATATTAAAGTGAAAGAATTTCTACCAGCGTCTAAGTTTGGCTCAATATACCTTTTTATTTATGGTTTAATATGGAACTCAGCCAAGGCCGAATGACTTAGTGTCCCATGTTCCTTAGTTGAATTACATTTTAACACAAAGTATTTTGGACTTATCTCTCGTATAGGACAATATTTCTTCTAAATGTGGGTGCATTTAGTCCTTAAGGAACCTAGAAAATTCGACATTCGCATTCTGAAGGATATTGATTAGGAGGCACACTATTATGAGAAAATGTTTGAAAGAGTTTTTGATTAAAATAAAAACGTTAATCAAATAGAGATAAAACGAACACACGTGTTTTTAATAGCTCTTTAGTTTTATCCGAATAGCAAACTACAGCGTAGTCGATAATGAACTAGATACAAACTTAGACGACTGCATGGCGTAGTGGTTTGTGTAACGGACTGCTATTCCAAAGGTCGCGGGTTCGATTCCCGCTCAAGTCAAACATTTGTGTGCATGAACATTTGATGTTTGATTTGGTCTGGGTGTTTCTATGTATAATATGTATGTATTTACAAAAAAAGTATATATGTATTTATATCAATTGTCTAGTACCCATAGTACAAGCTCTGCTTAGTTTGGGACTAGATGGCGTTGTGTGTATGTGGTAGAATATTATTATATTAAAAAGACTTGAGTACGGAAATGCAAACATTTCAGGTAACACTCAATTTTTTATTACTTCAACGAAACTATACATAGGTATAGCTTATTTTTTTATATTTGCTTTAACATAACATATCCGTACCATCTCATAGTAAAAGGTTAAAACGAGACGATCCTGAAACTAC